CCCTACTCACTCAGGACTCGTCCCCCTACGCACTCATGACTCGTCCCCCTAATCACTCATGACTCGTACCCCTACTCACTCATGAATCGTCCCCCCTACTCACTCATGGACTCGTCCCCCTACTCACTCAGGACTCGTCCCCCTACGCACTCATGACTCGTCACCCTACTCACTCATGACTTTTTTTTTTTTTTTTTTTTTTTTTTTTTTTTTTTTTTTTTTTTTTTTTTTTTTTTTTTTTTTTTTTTTTTTTTTTTTTTTTTTTTTTTTTTTTTTTTTTTTTTTTTTTTTTTTTTTTTTTTTTTTTTTTTTTTTTTTTTTTTTTTTTTTTTTTTTTTTTTTTTTTTTTTTTTTTTTTTTTTTTTTTTTTTTTTTTTTTTTTTTTTTTTTTTTTTTTTTTTTTTTTTTTTTTTTTTTTTTTTTTTTTTTTTTTTTTTTTTTTTTTTTTTTTTTTTTTTTTTTTTTTTTTTTTTTTTTTTTTTTTTTTTTTTTTTTTTTTTTTTTTTTTTTTTCGTCCCCCCTACTCAATCATGACTCGTCCCCCTACGCACTCATGACTCGTCCCCCTACTCACTCATGACTCGTCCCCCTAATCACTCATGACTCGTTCCCCCTACTCACTCATGGACTCGTCCCCCTACTCATCATGACTCGTCCCCCTTACTCACTCATGACTAGTCCCCCTACTCACTCAGACTCGTCCCCCTACTCACGTCATGACTCGTCCCCCTACTTCACTCATGACTCGTCCCCCTACGCACTCATGACTCGTCACCCTACTCACTCATGACTTCGTCCCCCCTACTCAATCATGACTCGTCCCCCTTACTCACTCATGACTTCGTCCCCCCTACTCAACTCATGACTCGTCCCCCTACTCACTCAGGACTCGTCCCCCTACTCAACTCATGACTCGTCCCCCTTACTCACTCATGACTAGTCCCCCTACTCACTTCATGACTCGTCCCCCTACTCACTCATGGACTCGTCCCCCTACTCACTCATTGACTCGTCCCCCTACTCACATCATGACTCGTCCCCATACTCACTCATGACTAGTCCCCCTACTCACTCATGATCGTCCCCCCTACTCACATCATGACTCGTCCCCATACTCACTCATGACTAGTCCCCCTACTCACTCTGACTCGTCCCCCTACTCAATCATGACTCGTCCCCCTACTCACTCATGGACTCGTCCCCCTACTCACATCATGACTCGTCCCCATACTCACTCATGACTCGTCCCCCTAATCACTCATGACTCGTTCCCCCTACTCACTCAGGACTCGTCCCCCTACTCAATCATGACTCGTCCCCCTACTCAATCATGACTCGTCCCCCTAATCACTCATGACTCGTCCCCATACTCACTCATGACTTCGTCCCCCGGTCCCCCTACTCACTCATGACTTCGTCCCCCTACATCACGTCAATGACTCGTCCCACCTACTCACTTCATGACTCGTCCCCCTACTCACTCATGACTCGTCCCCCTACTCCACCTCATGACTCGCTCCCCTAATCACTCATGACTCGTTCCCCCTCACTACTCATCGACTCGTCCCCCTACTCACTGCATGACTCTTCCCCCTAATCACTCATGACTCGTCCCTCCTACTTCACTCATGACTCGTCCCCCTACTCACTCATGACTCGTCCCCCTACTCACTCATGACTCGTCCCCCTACTCACTCATGACTCGTCCCCCCTACTCACTCATGACCTCGTTCCCCCTACTCACTCATGACTCGTCCCCTACTCACTCATGACTCGTCCCCCTACTCACTCATGACTCGTCCCCCTACTCACTCATGACTCGTCCCCCTACTCACTCATGACTCGTCCCCTACTCACTCATGACTCGTCCCCCTACTCACTCATGACTCGTCCCCCTACTCACTCATGACTCGTCCCCCTACTCACTCATGACTCGTCCCCCTACTCACTCATGACTCGTCCCCCTACTCACTCATGACTCGTCCCCCTACTCACTCATGACTCGTCCCCCTACTCACTCATGACTCGTCCCCCTACTCACTCATGACTCGTCCCCCTACTCACTCATGACTCGTCCCCCTACTCACTCATGACTCGTCCCCCTACTCACTCATGACTCGTCCCCCTACTCACTCATGACTCGTCCCCCTACTCACTCATGACTCGTCCCCCTACTCACTCATGACTCGTCCCCCTACTCACTCATGACTCGTCCCCCTACTCACTCATGACTCGTCCCCCTACTCACTCATGACTCGTCCCCCTACTCACTCATGACTCGTCCCCCTACTCACTCATGACTCGTCCCCCTACTCACTCATGACTCGTCCCCCTACTCACTCATGACTCGTCCCCCTACTCACTCATGACTCGTCCCCCTACTCACTCATGACTCGTCCCCCTACTCACTCATGACTCGTCCCCCTACTCACTCATGACTCGTCCCCCTACTCACTCATGACTCGTCCCCCTACTCACTCATGACTCGTCCCCCCTACTCACTCATGACTCGTCCCCCTACTCACTCATGACTCGTCCCCCTACTCACTCATGACTCGTCCCCCTACTCACTCATGACTCGTCCCCCTACTCACTCATGACTCGTCCCCCTACTCACTCATGACTCGTCCCCCTACTCACTCATGACTCGTCCCCCTACTCACTCATGACTCGTCCCCCTACTCACTCATGACTCGTCCCCCTACTCACTCATGACTCGTCCCCCTACTCACTCATGACTCGTCCCCCTACTCACTCATGACTCGTCCCCCTACTCACTCATGACTCGTCCCCCTACTCACTCATGACTCGTCCCCCTACTCACTCATGACTCGTCCCCCTACTCACTCATGACTCGTCCCCCTACTCACTCATGACTCGTCCCCCTACTCACTCATGACTCGTCCCCCTACTCACTCATTCCCTATCCCTTACTCATGACTCATCCCCTACTCACTCCTCACTCACTCCCTCACTCAAGCCCTCACGCCCTTACGTCGATGATCCTCCAGGTGGAGTTCTTGATGTTGGTGGTGACGGAGAAGTCGAAGATGTAGTCGAGCGAGTAACCCAACTTGCGGTTGATGTAGACGTTGGTGTGCCAGTCGAAGCCCGAGGAGTCCCAGGCCGCGCCCTCCACCACGGGCCAGCCGCCCATCTGCGTCAGGATCTCCTTCAGGGGGTTCAGGCCGCGCTCGTTGATGCGGTCTTGGGGTAGGAGGAAGGGGGGAGGAAGGGGGGAGGTAATGTGGTGAGGGGTGAGGGGTGAGGGGTGAGGGGTGAGGGATGAGGGATGAGGGATGAGGGATGAGGGATAAGGGATAAGGGATAAGAGAGGAGAGAGAGAGAGAGGTAGAGTTAGGGTGGATTTTCGAATTAATTTGAATAATGCTTATAATGATGCTGGTGTTAACAAGCAGAAACTCCACATCATCACTATAAACCAACAATAACAATAACGGCAACGACAACATATATCAATAACAACAATTTTTGCGAGACAGAAAGCGCGACGACCCTCCGCATCCCTTCCCGGAGCCGTCGAGCCGCCTACCGGTGTCCATGCACGACTTGTAGAGGTTCTTGACCATCTTGGTGGCGGGCGAGTCGTCGTCGCTGGGATCCGCCTCGACGAGCCCGCGCAGCTTCTCCTGCAGGTCGTCCGAGATCTCGTTGAAGCGCGACAGGGACGACTTCTCGTCAGGGATGATCTTCTTCTGCAGGAAACCGCCGCACGAGAACCGGAAGAAGTCGTCGCAGGGGTTCACGGCCTCGTCCATCGAGTCGATCAGCTTCGCCGCTGAGGGGGGGAAGGGGGGAAGGAGGGGGGAGGGGGAAGGAAACTTCATTAGTAAACGAGTCCGTGTGGAGGCTGGCGGGTGATGAGTAGATGGATGCGTGCGTGTGATGCCAGTGAAGCTAGAACTGTGAATACATTACTAATTTATCTATCTATGAGAGAGAGAGAGAGAGAGAGAGAGAGAGAGAGAGAGAGAGAGAGAGAGAGAGAGAGAGAGAGAGAGAGAGAGAACAAACGAAAGAAAAAAGGAAAAAGAGCAAAGCGTGGCTGAAATTAGACAGCTGACGATTTTTTTTTTGTTTCAAGGAAGATTCAGTTTTGCAGAAAATCTCCTTATTCACTGACTGAGTAGACACTATTGTTATGATGAGTTTATGTGCATGCAGATGAGTCTACTTACGAACAATAATGACATGAATGTTTCTAAATTAGCATTTTTGTTAAATGGTGTAGAAGTTTGTTTGCAAAATAGGTATGACTTAGTTTCCTTAAGAGGTTATTGCCTACAATGTGACCATGCAAAATCTTTGCTCACTAAACAATATATGCCATGTAATACTATAAGATGGAAGAAAAATCTGATTATCTTTATTCAATTAAAGACGATTATAAGTTCTAAAGAAGCCTTTGAATCCACATTAAAGAGAAGCCCTGGTTACACGTGTATGATATTCCTGTGATAAGACTTCTCAATTATGGTAAAATGTCCCGCCATTTTGCAATATTTACTGAAGGTTTGACTCTCTGATACGTTAAGCTCTACACTTACTCTTGATATCTAACCAACTATTTGTTTTTATTTGATTTTCCTATATCTAACTGTATATCTAGAAAAAATGACAAATTTAGAGAAATTACACTAAACCTACTCAGAGAAAAAGAGAACGGAAAAGAAAACGAAGATAAACCAAAACATAATAAAACACAGCTTGAACCCTATATCTAAAAAAAATATATATAAAACCCCACACACAAAAAAGGCTTAAAACAATCTAGGAAAGCCAGAAAACAAGAGCAGAACGCAACAAAGGAGCAGGGGCCGGCCGCACACTTGGCCCGGCATCCTTCGCTCCTCCCTGCGGCGCGGCCTTACCTGCCCGGACGCATCCTTTGCTTTGGCAGGTCTCGCTGGGACTCTCAGGGAACGTCTCCTGGCAGGCCGTGAGTGGCTCTGCCGAAATAAGTGGCAGCATTGAGGTGTCTGTGAGGGGGGCGGAGAGGAGAGAAAGAGGAGGCATGCGGTTAGGTGCAGCAGACGGTGACGAGCAGCAGCAGTAACAGCAGCGGCATTGAAGTGCAGCACACAGCAGTGACAGCAGCGGACGTGGGAACCGGAAAAGCAGCGGCAACAACAGCAACAGCAGTAACAGATGTTCGGAACACGTGCGCGTATAGATTTTTTTTTTTTTACTTTCTCGTGCAAACAACATGCTAACGTGCAAACTGTGCGACTGATGGTAAGTCTGTCTTTGTCGAGGGTTTTGTCTTTTTTAACTTTTTTATTCTTCTTCTCTGTCTTTATTATCTTTTTCTTCTAATTCTTTATTCTTGTCATGAACCAAGGGCATTGTCTAAAGTATTAAGATTCGTGAAAAGAGCCCAATTGTGAGGGGAAATTCTAATCTATAAATGCGGAACATGTGTTGCTAAATGTTCGAGAGGGAATCAGTGTGGGTGAAGGGGGGGGGGGAAGGGAAGGGAAGGGAAGGGAAGGGAAGGGAAGGGAAGGGAAGGGAAGGGAAGGGAAGGGAAGGGAAGGGAAGGGAAGGGAAAGGAAGGGAAAGGAAAGGAAAGGAAGGGAAAGGAAGGGAAGGAAAGGGGAAGGGAAGGAAAGGGGAAGGGAAGGAAAGGGGAAGGGAAGGAAAGGGGAAGGGGAGGGGAAGGGGAAGGGAAGTGAGAGGAATAGGGATAGAAGGTGGGAAAGTGAGTAGGGAGTAGGGGGAAGGGGGAGGCAGTGTCAGAAGTAAAAGGAGATGGAGAGGGAGGAGGGAATGGAAGAGGGAGAGAGGTGCTTGTCTGTGTACCTACTAACGCCTATATTTCTGCCTACGTGTACTTTACTCCCTCAATATTTCGCACAGTCTTCACTAATACTAGAAATCTTTAACAATTACAAGCAAAAGAAAAAGACAAAAATCAACAAAGCGTCGAGACAAAAGAGAAGAGAAAAAGTAAAACAAACAGATCCGGGGACTTTCTCTTTATGGAGATGAAATCTTATAAATAGAGAGTCCAAGCCTTCTTTTTTTTTTTTTTTTTTTTTTTTTTGTTACCTTGAAATTAAAGCAAAAACATTTCTTTCCTCTTTACTTTTGAGAGAGTTGTTTGTTTGACCTATCTGCTCATTCAGTTGTATACTTCAAGTCGTGGGATCATAAGTCTACAGGTTCATTTGTTTATTTATTTCATTCGAATTTGTCCTTTGTGGTCGAGTGAGCATGGCTAAGAATGCAAATTTAGTCTCTATTCTGCTAATATTCTGTTTAATTATCTATCAGAAATCTTCCATTATCGTTAGAATTCTTCTAAAACCCGGCGGTTATCGTCCAAAATACAGACATTAATTTACTAAACACCGGGGAAAAGGGAAATTTTAAAGTATAACAAAAATAATGATAAAAACCGTGTTCCTATTTCCGTCCTTGTCAACACAAGTCACATAGTCTGTTGTTGTTGCTGTCGTCTGCCTTCACAGTTTACCAGTCTCTATATTTCAATATAGTCTTCAGTATCCAGTTCTTACAGGGTCATTCGTTCCTCATTTATTACCAAAGAAGTCTGATCTATTTGCAGACTAAGATATGTCAAACTCTTAAGTCATTATGTTAATATTCTCCCCACCCCCACACCTCCCAACTCTTTAACACTCTCTAGACAAAATTCCCGAAATATCCTGTTTCTCTCAAGAACGATCTCTTTAAACTCCAGTCAAGATCTATTGCAACAGATGTCACATTCCTAACAGTTATAACACCCTCCTGATAGCCCCGTCCTTTTGTCTAAATTAAAGTTCTTTCGTCAGAATTGCCTGTCCAAAAAGTGCGTTTTCAGCAAGTAACAGCGTAATAGTTCGTAGGGTATGTCTGGAAAAAGAAAACCGTAATCGCAACTTGCCTGCTATTCTACATCACCCTCGGAAGGTTCGGTCAAAATATTACGTGATTTTTTTTGCATGTCATGGGCTCTAATAATAATCTTCGCTGAATGTAGAATGTGATTGTACACATTTTGACGGTAATTATGTCATTTGTTGTTTTTTTTATATGCTTCAGCCACTATACTCTGCGTCTGTCGCTGTCGCTTTTTAAAGGCAACAAAAAGCTTTCGTAAATTGTCTCATTCTCTGTGTCGTTCTTCCTGTTTGTCTGTCTGTCTTTATGCCTGGATCTCTTTCACTGGTTCTGTTTGTTTGCTTGCCTACCTGTCTATGTACTCATGTCTGTGTCTGCGTCTCTTTGGCTCTATATCTGTTTGTCTATCTTCCTGTCCGTGTCTGTCTATCTGTGTCTGTCCCTCCCCTGTCTACAGCCCACCAAAGAGCGGGTGTGGTGACTTGCTCTCGCTGCCTCCACTTTCACCGCACGTGTTACTATATTTAGTTTCCCAGTCACACTTGTCTTGCTCCCGCTGGAGGGAAACCAACCCTGCCTTGTTGAGACTAGTTTCCACCGAAGTGTCTCAAAGGCTGCCTATGGAGGACCGAAAACTATTGAAATTGAATACATGTGCGTACACGACACCGACTATACAAACATGTATATATGCATATGTGTATGTACACACACATACACACACACACATACAAACACGGGACATGTATACACTATATCCACACGCATACACACTGCCAATAAGAGAAAGTTTCCAATCGCAGCCCCTATACACTCTCACTAAAGGTTTTGTGGCAATGTGTGTCTACATGTCCTCTCATGCGTGTTTACGGTCCTATTAAAATTGGTTTGTGATTTGAGCGTTGAAAAAAGAACGGCTGTTCATTCATATGTTTATTTGTATATAAAAAGTTTTCTTTATTTATACATTGCAGAATCGATTACTATTTCCTCATGCAATACAAAAAAATGAAAAGTTTGGACCGCTCGACGATGAAATGACAGTCTGGTCAGTGTAGTCGCAGTATAAGTCAGAGTCTAATATCCTAAAGTGCTCCGAAAAAAAAGAAAAAAAAAGGAAAATATCCTTCAATCATCCTGATGGGATTTGCTGGACAAAATTCTCCTTTAAAAACGTGAAGGAGAGAAACGAACAGCATCCATGGCTTTAAAAAAAAGTTCAAAGCTATATTTGTCAAAAACGTTTATTTCGTGTCATCGTAATAACACTACATGGCAGGTTGTAATGTAGTCTAGCTATGTTGCGTCAGGTCGGGCGCGGACCAGGCTTAGTACTGGCTCTCGCGCTGCAGGCTTACCAACCGAAAGCCTGAACTAACGCCTTTATAAATGGTCTCGCAAATTTATGTCACCGGCTTTTTCGGGGGATACAAAACGGCTCGTTGCATTAATGTCAATTCGTTGAATGTCGTTTCAAAACTACTTATGCAGTCCTTTGTAAGTTTCGATGCGATTTGCTTAGTCCTTTACGAGTTTTAATGCTATTTGCGCAGTCCTTTAGATGTTTCTGTGGGAACTGTAGTTCTTTGTATATTTCAATAGTGTCTGCAGAATCCTTTTACCAAATAAGAGTAGGAAAGCAAGTCGTGTTTCACAGTGTCCTTAGGCGGTTAGTCTAAAGTTCGGTACTTAGTAAAGTTTCACAGTCAGAGTCGTTAAATCTAAAAAATATATAAATGTACTTCCATAGTAATAGTAATAGTCCCTCAATCACCCAGGAATCGAGTCAAAATAGTTGATAAAACATGTCATTAATCTCTAAGAAGGCAAGGAGTCGATGTCATGATCAAAGTCCCAAAAAGGTGTCAAAATTTTGCCAGGCGAAAATCCGAACACTCGAGAAAGATTTTGAATTAGTGAAAGAGCTTCCCGTGGTTAGATTTTTATTTTCAAAGCGGGAAAAATAAGAGTTTATGCTGTTAGTTACCGTAAGCATGTTCAAGAGAATTATTTCGTGCGTAAGAGAAGTGTTAAACGCAGTCACTAAGAAATTGTTAGGCTATCACAGAAGAAAAGGAAATAGCCAACAAGGAAAATCAGGAAATTCAAAGTTTGGCTTAGTGGAGTGAAAGCACACACATCTGTTAGTTCAAAGCTAGGAATATAAATGACATCAAAATGGTTAAAAGGTACATTTCACCAGAAAAAAATAAGATTATTTTGTTCACATTATTACAAATACTATTGCAATGAAAAATTACATATATCATACAAACATACATATGTATATTTGTATATATATGTATGTATACATATAAATACATAGGTGTATGTATGTGTGTGTGTGTGTGTGTGTGTGTGTGTGTGTGTGTGTGTGTGTGTGTGTGTGTGTGTGTGTGTGTGTGTGTGTGAATGTACATTATACATATAAATATTATATATAAATATTATATATATATATATATATATATATATATATATATATATATATATGTAAGCATATATATGTATATAATATATATATATATATATATATATATATATATATATATATATATATATATGTAAGCATATATATGTATATATATATATATGTAAGCATATATATGTATATATATATATATGTAAGCATATATATATATATATATATATATATATATATATATATATATATATATGTAAGCATATATATGTATATAATATATATATATATATATATATATATATATATATATATATATATATATATATGTAAGCATATATATGTATATAATATATATATATATATATATATATATATATATATATATATATATATATATATATATATGTAAGCATATATATGTATATAATATATATATATATATATATATATATATATATATATATATATATATATATATATATGTAAGCATATATATGTATATAATATATATATATATATATATATATATATATATATATATATATATATATATATTATATACATATATATGCTTACATATATATATATATATATATATATATATATATATATATATATATATATATATTATATACATATATATGCTTACATATATATATATATATATATATATATATATATATATATATCAGAATAACTATAATA